TGGGTTGTCAGGTAATCTCTGGTAGTATGTATACATGCATACACACACACACACACACACACACACACACACACACACACACACACACACACACACACATATGCATACATAATAAAGAAAGAGTCTTTAAGAGAGAACCCAATGTTTGGAATGTTAATAATATTGTGTATTAGAACAGTGCTTCTCAACTACTGGGATTTGACAGTTGCCTGGGTGGGACATGAGATTTTGGAAATAATAATTAATTCAGCCACACAAAATTCACATAAACACAAACTTTCCTGCATTCTAAGCATAAGCCTGTTATTAATGCTGCAATATAATAGTATTTCTGCTAATAGAACTAAAATTGAAAGGTTCTGCTGCCTGGGATATAATGCTGTGTGGTCTGATGAAAATCAATGGACCTTCTGGAGGAACATATCGCCTCCATCTTCAGCCCTCTTCATACCCACCACTGAATAAAATGTGGAAGAATTACTTGACTAACTGAGCAACTATCAACTTTACAAGAGACACTGCACCACAGAGTTTTTTCATTGCTAGTGGGGCGGGACTAAGTCCTTTGTACTGCAGCCACTTCTGTCCTATTGTACCGGCCCCAGATGATAGGCGAGGGTAATTGTGGAGCAACTGGTGGAATGAAGATTGGCAGGGGGAACCGAAGTACTCAGAGAAAACCTGCCCCAGCACCACTTTGTCCACCACAAATCCCACTTAACCAGACCCAGGATCGAACCTGGGCCGCCGCGATGGGAAGCCAGTGACTAACCGCTTGAGCTATGGCGCGGCCACACCACAGAGTTAGTTAAAATATGAAAGCACATAAGGACAAAAATTGTAAAATCATCTCTATGCATAAGAACCACATTACAAAAAGATGTAGGGGAGGTGAGCCATTGATTTTTAATCTCTGAAGTAGACTGTGGTGCATGATCAGCTTCATGTTTCATCACTTTTATCGCAATGATAAAATACAAAATAATTTCTGCCTCTGTGCAGTGTGATCTAGGTAGTGTGATCCTTTGTAAAAATAGATTTGTATCTGCAATAAATGAAAACAATACCAATGTCATGTGCAAAGTAACAAACAATCATTTGAAAACTGGACTTCACCATTCCTACAGTGTGTTCTAATGACAGCTGTTATGCCCTTTTAGAATTCATAAATGTAATATATGGAACCATGGACACAAAATCTGGACATCAGCCAATCTGCTGCTGTACACTGTATTTAAATAGGAGAGATGAGCAATGAACTCAGGTCTGATGTTAAATGAAGCAGCTACAGATGGAAGAAAATAGAACAAATAAAAGTAAAGATTTTGCTCCCTTGCTATCACATGGTGAGGAATAACCTTCAAACTACAATTACCATCTTTCAGAAAGACAGTTATCTCTTAACTGAGGTGTGACTATTATTATTCATTAATTAATTTATTATTTATTCATAATTTATTCAATGTCACTGCCAGTAACTCAAGACTGTAGTGCATCAAATGACTGATTGATACTGAAAAATGAACTGGAAAGGTTATGGAAGAAGGCAGTTGTGGCCAAATTTAAGGTACTATGCTGGCACATACATGGAGAAACTGAGAAGAAACACAAAAAGAACCTCAGACAAGACAGTCTGTGCCCTAGCTGAAAGACAAATTTAACACATTCCAAATATAAGAGAGAAGTATCACTGCTCAAATTAACCTGCTCAGTAATTGTGATTGTACTTCATTGGTTGTTGCTTCAGAGTGTGAGGAACTGATCTTCCTGCTGTGTAAGGGACCAAGCATAGTACAGATATGCTCAGAACTATGTGCATCAACTGCAAAGGAGTGATGAGTTATAGACAGTAGTCTGTTAGAATTACTGGGTTTCTGGACATTGTACATCGTCCGGTATTCTAGAAACTAGTTTCTAGAACACCAAACAATGGACACAGTCCAAAAACCTAGTAATTTTGAGAATTATACACCATCATCAGAACCCTTTAGAATCTGCTTGATAGCAAAGGATGCTAAAATGTTATTTATTTAAAACGAGAAATGACATAAGATATGCCCTTTAGAGTTGATTCATGCTAGCTAATATTATTTAGGACAGTCCTGCTAGAGAAGCTGGTTACGAAGTTCCCTCCCTTCCATGGAACCTAATGTTTCATTTACAGTAATCACAAGACTATGTCACAGCTACCACACTCTTTCCCCACATGTAAGGACCAAGTACAATCCAATGTTGTGTGACTCAGCCTTGTTATCCTCTTGAAGCTTCGAGTTCATCTAAGTAATACACCCTTTAAAAATTCAGATCCTAGCTTAGAGAAAAACACTGGGTCTTCGTCACAAAAAACCTACTGGTTAATGCAGGACACAAAAACAATTACTGTTTCGACTCCTTAAAAATACACGTAAATATACTGGATGGGTTAATGCTGAAAGTATGAACACATAAGTAGGTGGTATACATATGTACTGACTATTGATTTTAGAGTGTCAGCCCCACTTATAATTTGTCAAACTTGAATAAAATGATACTGAACACCCCATTATAAAAATACAGAAGAATCTGAAGAAGAAGAAGAAGAAGAAGAAGAAGAATTTAAGCATGACAAGTGACATGATCTGGCAATGGGCAGTAATGTACTTATGTAACAATCAGTTGATCCACTGATTAAATGAAACATTGATTTTCAGGTGACTTAATGGCAGTGTTTCAACTGTTGACTATTTAATGTCAAATAAGGTGCAGAAATAATCAAGCACTGCAAGTAGGTAAGCATTTGGAAAGACACTGGTGTGGCCTATTTCAAATCAACATCTTACCCACCTGGAAAGAATGAGAAATATCACTCAACACAAGTCAGGAAGGCTTTTAAATAGGCTGAGATTCAAACCAGGACCCTTCTGAATATGTTGGTTTCTGAATTTGTTATATGTACAGCATAGCATCTAAATGGTCCAGAGCTATGAGCAGTCCTAACTTTATGGTGAATCATATCACAGCATACCACTTTGCTTGAACCAGTTCTTTGCTTTCATTGCAATTTTTCTGATTTCATACATATTAATTCACTTTATTTACATAAAGAATTAACCATTGCAACTGGACCCCATCCCAAGACAGCTCAGTTCATTCTGCAACAAAATGACCCTGTCCACAAAAAATTTTACTGTCATCCACCAGTTATTATGTTGGGCCTCAAAATTTCCTTTCAACAGGGATTTTTCACAAAAATGTTGTACTTCTTCTCTCACTTATACATGCTACGTGCCTAGTCCAGTTTTCTCTTAGATTTAGTAGCCCTTCATGCAGAGTATAAAACATAACATTTCTTGCCATGGAATAAGACCTCTGACTTAGTTCTGATTCAGAATGAATTCAGAATGAATGTTTTGAGTTTGGTAGCACTCCTTGTATAGGATATTGGCCTACCATATATTTTCACTATTTTCAAGTACAAAATTTACCTGAACCCTTTTATATTTCCACGTTTTTCTTCAGAATAGATTGCATATATTTTAAAAGTCTTGTNCTTGCACTGAACCCTTCAATTTATATCATCCAAGGTCCAAATTCTATGTTCTGAGGAACTTCAATTGAGAACAGTGGCATGTTTAATCTCATAAATCACTGTTTAGTACAGATATAACAAAAAGAAAACAAACTGTAAGCTGCTACATTCAAAGACAAGATAAATATATAATGTTGAAAAGATGAATATACACACTGTTTCCCACTTCTTCAAATGTACATAAAATACCTGAGTCAGCTGCACCATTGTAAATATGCTATTTTATGTAACAAATTCTCGTTTCACACTTTGCAGCCAAATCATTTTCATGTTTCCTTTCTGTATATTCCTACTTTTTATACCTAGGGCTGTCATAAGTACAGTTCCCAAGTTATTCTCAATGTACAGGCAGGTCCTCATTCTTGACTACAAAGCTCTTTCCACCAGATAAAATGAATAGTAAAGATAAAGAACCTGCCAGAAAGTAACTCCAAATTTTTCCATGATACAAGAGGAATCCAAATTTTTTTATTTCACTAGTTAACCTTCTGCCAAACAGAGTTCTACCAGCACTGATAACAAGCACCACACAAATGTAAGCAAACAGAAAGGAAAGAAAAGCACAGAGAAATCCCCCTTTAAGATTTCTTTGGGGACCAGTGAAACTGAACACTAAACTGAGCAAAATCTTAAATGGAAAAATTTAACACAGGAATTTCTAACTTGGGATCACTGAAACTGAACATCAAATGAAATAAAACCTTAAATTAAGGAAAATCAAAATAAAGGCTCCACTTATCAGCAAATCCTTCTACCACAAATTTTATATGGACAACTATGACTGCACATAGGACATTTAGTTTCTCCATATGCAATTTCACAAGCAGACGGCTTGTACCAGTTCTCACAGTCTCTTCGCTTGCAGATTTATTTTTCTTTCTACCCTGAAGATGGAGGCGATACGTTCCTCCGAAACGTCGGTTAACACCACATCTACACGGTGCCACATCCCAGAAGACTGCTTTCTTCATTGAATTCCTAATGTCCAATTCTGCAAGGTTCTTCCTTACAACAAATATTACACTGCTAATTCTTTCATAAGCCAAGCCATTAACTCAGGAAGTTAGATGTTGGTTTCTCTCTCTTAGTTAATATGAGATTTAGGATGAAAAAACTGCACTGGAGCAAGCACCCTTGAAGGTAAGCAATAGTCCTGACCTAGCAATGGTGATCTTTAATGTGGGGCTTCATCTGACCTAGCATTTGGTTGGGTTACCCAGTAAGGATGTTAGCTGTTTCTGCTGTAAAACTTGACATCAATTATGATAAACTTACATCGAGTGAGAACAGATGTATTGCAGCCACATGCTTCACAGGTTATGACAGGCGGGCTGGGCACTGATTATCAATTCAAAAGTTCTACGCTCTTTATATTCTATAATCCACTCAGCAATGTGATGCAAGGGGGAGCTCAGATAAAGTGCAGACCTACCTTCTGTGAAGTCAGCACTCGTTGCCTCTCCACCTGACTGACAAGTGCAGCACTGTGGGAATGTGAAGCTTTCACCAGAGGCTCCATCCCTTGAAGTATCACTTGCGCTCCTAGGAACTTGTTCAGCAGGGAACGAGCCTCTGCATCTTCTTCGGAGTCACCATCTTTGACATCTGCAATGTAAGGCATTTTCATTATAGTGGAGGACAGAATAATGTAATCCAAACACAGGTGGAGGACAGCAGGCCCTGAATGTGTGATAATTAGAAACACCAAAATAAAATGCCTGGTTACAATCTCAAAACCAAGTTTCTGTGCTAATGTAAGTTAAAATTATGCATAAAAGATTATGTTTTTGAGAAAGGCTTATGAACTATTATTTGGCATAGAAGACTACAGTAAAACACATAACTGTAAAAACCAATACATCTTCCCTTCATTCTTTATAAAATAGATACCAATGACAGAAGTAAGGATTTAAGATTTCAGACAAATGTTTTATAAATTGGGAAAATTTCTCTACAAAATGTATGGAATGTTTTAGCTACTTCACCACAGAACTTGGTATATTAGTTACTTATAATTGTCTTGAAATGACATTTAATGTATTGTTAATCTCTAATTCTTGAGCTGGTTTATATGAAATGACACTAAAAGGTGCATAATAATTATGAAACAAAGCTATTAATTGTAACACAAATTATCAGGACAAATATTAAAATACCATAAATCATGAATATAATCTCACCTTGATCAGCATTCTTCATGCGAGTAATCACATCTTGCACACCAGTTACACGAGTTTGGTTGGTGAGGAATGATCCGCCTTTGGTCTTATCAATAGATGTGGTGTGTGTGCTGGTTGGAACAGACCCTGTATGCACATCCACAGACTCTGATTGCTTGAGATTCGCTGATCCTGAATATAAACCCAACAGAATCATGAGGATAACATGGAAATTTTAGTAACACACTGTGACATTTATAATCTGTATTATTAGTTTGCATCAGACTTCCAGCAGATATCATTATTATTATGATATCCATATTATATCATATATTATGCACTATGCAAAAACATATCAATAAGCTTATTTTTAAATATTAATTCAGAAAACATATAACAGTAATAATGCTAAAATGTGTACAATTTTCATATAATTACATTGTGATGTAATGATTACCTCTTCTGTTTTGAGCCAAATTCAAATTTTTATTCATGTCAACTGTACAGTACTGTCATGTGAACACCCCTCTCCTGCTTCCCAACTTAATATTCAAATTATTGTTACATGACCTATGAAACAAACAATAACCTTATCATGAGTTACAAAAAGCAAACATTCTACAACAGTAAGCAGCAGAAGAGAAGTATTTCAATCCTTGTCAATTTATTAATAGAAGATGTATGTATGAGGGGTGGGCCACAATCCGGCCTTTGCACTGCGACCAACAATGATCTATTGTACTTAATTATATTAATATCAATATTAATTTACATACAATGAACTATTTGTGTCAATGCACTATCATGGCCATATGCTATACCCACTATACTCATGTTTGTTCCAAAAAGCCTCCGAGAATCACATTATCAGTGTATGAAATACTACATTGATATGGTCTAAACATTGAAGAAATGATAAATATTCATAGTGACGGACACAGAAACTTATAGAGATATTACAGTTGTATTTCATACTTAACACATTGAGGACCATTCGCATGATATCATGCTTTTGTTTTTAAACATGGCAGACTGGTCGCATGATATCATGATTTTAGGACACGTTAGGTTGTAACACACTATACCTTTCTCTGGCGCCACCAAAATGAATGACTACTGCGTAATATTACTCCGGAATGTTTGCTTAGTAGGCAGTAACTTGACCTCACTGTTTTGGTTCCCCTTCCAAAGGAAAATGATCTTTGACCCTTCAAGCTCCTATGTACCAGGTAGGAAGTTAGTGCAATATGAATCAAGGACAGAAGCAGTTCAAGACCAAGCGATCTATCGGAGAACAAGAAATATCTGACTTGTTCTCCGATGAGCTATCTGACGCTCCTTCTGAGAGGAGTAGTGAAAGTGACTCAGTGGCAGTGACAGAGGACAACAAACAATTGTGGCCACAGACAATAAAAGTGAAAGTAGCTCCGACGAAAGTGCAGGTAGTAAAATTGCGGGGACAGCCACATGAGGAAAAGTAGACAAAATGCCTACTTTGGGACACTTTACTGGAAATCCAGGGGTACAACAAATTCCATCGGACTCAACGCAAGTGTCTGAAGTGGCAGAACTGTTTTTTGGAGATAGGGATATTCGTGTTGTGAATATGATTTCCACAATTCACAATTCACAATTCGAGCATGGTTGATGTTCAAAGGAGACATGAACAAGTGAAGTAGCATATTTGTATTTCTGAGTATAATATGTTCATGAAGGGAGTTGATAGAGCCGATCAATACTTGGCCTATTATTCTCTTCCTAGGAAAATAATAAAGTGGACAAAGAAAGTTGCCTTGTGGCATATAAATTGTGCCGTTTTCAATTCATTTTTGGCTTACAAAAATCTAAACCCTGATTCGAAATTGAAATATAAAGCATTTCTGATTAATCAGGCAAAGGCCTGGGCTACAAGCCAGATGGTGGCAGCAGAACCAGAGTCAGGCACAGACTTAGTGCGACCAGGCCCATCAACTTCCACCCCACACAGGTCTTATGTGGACACCCCTGGGCAACTCTCGGGTGATATGCGGAAACATACCCTCGTGAAAATTGTGTAGGAGAAGCATCCTTCTAGGCAGTGCAGTGTTTGCACAGTTCACAAAGAAAGGAGTATGACTGTCTACATTGCAAGTTCTGTGTAATGGCACTTCACAAAGGGGAATGTTTCCAGAAATATCACACTCTCAAGCACTTCTAGAAGCACTGGTAAGTGTTCTCCAAAAATTTTAGTTCAAAAATTAATTAGGAGATTTTATATTAATTTTTAAAGTGAACAGTGCACAAGTTAGGGTAGTAGGTTTAAAAATGCCGGTCTCCAGGGTGATTTAAATTGCCGGTCCGCAAAGTGTTAAAAGATTTTTATCATAAGCAATGCACAAATAAGATCAACTTCATATATGCACGTGGGATCCCTGTATTTTGTTGGTTGGTTATTCGGTTATTTCTCAGCACCATATTAGAAGTTCTGGTTATTTAGCACTAAAAAGCCATGGTACAACTGTGAATCATAGTAGTTGTATGAAGGAACTGAGGAAAGAGATGACAGGACAGCCTGTTGCTGACTGGGATTTGAAATTGATGCTTCCCAAATGCAAGACTACCGTTGTTTAAACTTGGTTCCTGCATATGTGAAAGTCCCAAATTTCCTTTGGTCTCTTTCATTTAACATGAAGAACTGTGCTAGAGTTTAGACACAACCAATCCTATTGTTAAAGATGTTAGTTACCTGGTGCCTCCTCCCCTGTGGGAGTGGTGGCAGGACTGATGCTGCTGTTTAGTCGGAAGCTTGCGGAGCGAAATATGAGTCCAGCCTTGGGGTAAGACCGTTGTGAGCGAGAGCTGTCACTGCCATTCGCCTCAGCTGCTAGGTCATGGGGTCAGATGTTAAAGAGTGGTAGTTGGGGCAGGAGGATTTCAAGCAAGTTCTCAAGGTCATTATTATTTGCTGTTGTTACATCACACACACACATGACAAGGAGTATTAGCTATGTTACACGCTGCACAGGGATGATAATATTGTACCAAAATTCATTTCATTTTTATTTTTTAATTTAAATGTATAATCTAGGACTACCATAATCCAAGGCTAGAAAAAATCATAGCATTATAACATATGTTAAAACTGACTTTCAATTTTATTTCATACTTTCAGAACATTCATGACAAGATATCAATAAAATAAATACAAAAAATTCTCTCTGCCTCAGAAAATACTATAATATAGCAATCGTGATGGAACAGTACCATTTCATTAACACCATAAGACTGCTAATAGTGTGATATATTAATATAAATGTATTTCTTTAAATATATGAAAGTAGTTGTGTATGAACAGATCATTATGATGACTACTGTAGTGTAGGGAATCATTTCAAGTAATATTTCAAATAAAAGCAAGTTAGATGGCTCAGTTAAAACTACCGTTAACATGAGAAAGCTGATATTCAAAAAAGGTAATTCCTGTTTCCTCACCAGCAGCCTGTTGAAATTTCTGTGACAATGCTCGGACAGAGCCCCCGCGGGCAATCCTGGAGAATCCTGAGCTGCCAGCGACAGGTATGGGTGATGCCTCCCGAGCACCGTCAACTGTAGTTGATGATCTCCTTCGGCTTGATTCGGTTATCTGCTTTGAGGTTGAAGATCGAGAGGAAGTGCTTGTCTCAACTGTCGTCATGGCCCCACTGCGACTCTGGGTCACTGTGCTGCTGCCACCAAAGCAAACTTCTGATCTCTGCACCTGTCCTTCAGTCTCTGCTTCAGTGGAATACCTGTTACATAAAAAAACAGGGCACTTACATTAAACCTTTACCTTCATCTATCATAATCATGATCATTGAGTGAATCTATTTTTGGCTGTTAAATTAATTTGCAGGAACATTCTTATAATATTTATATGAAATCTACATACTGTATACTATACTGGGAAATACTGCATCTGTAATAATGGTAACTTTCAGAGTCAATGTGGCAACCTACATGCAGTATTTGGTATTACTAGCCTGAGATTTTTCCACTTGTAGAGTAATATACATCACAGCACCATTTAATGTTCCCTTACTTCACCTTCTTCCTCATTTAAAGTTCAGTTTCAATGATCCCAAATCAATATCTTTTGCATTAAGTTTCTACCATTTATAATTCCATTCTAATTAGTGTATCCAACCCAATGGTCCCCAAAATAATTTTAAAGGGGGTTCTACTGCATGTTGGTTCCGAATAAAGCGAATGAACAATAAGGTTAAAGCAAATACAGGAAACATGTATGGAGTAGAAGACTTGAGATATTATCCATGCCAAACTCTATTGCAAACTTCCATAATTATAAATTTTATTGTTAGAGGCAAGAGCCGTCTGGGGGATAACAGGTCCAGTTACATGAAACTGAGTAGTCTGTTGAAATGTCAGCTTGGTTGAACCTTGCTATTTGAAAATTTCTCCATAAACTATAAATGGCCCTTTTCTTACATAACGTTCCACAATAAAAATTTTGTTGAACAGAGTCAACACTTCGCCAGACCTAATTTGTTAAACTATAAAATTAAAAAAATTAATAGCATTTCCTTTTTATTTTATACAGTATAAGAAATATCACCTGACTTAAAGTAAGGATGGTGGGATCTTCCGGAAATATTACTATGATCTAAAATTGAAGTTTTATGAACAATAAAAAGAAGATAGCAAGGAATTTCTGTTAATGAACATAAATTTCATGTTATATCTCTAACCTTATATATGAAAACACTAACACTCAATTCTGGTCCAATACAGAATCAACAGCTCCCGAAATTCACGATATACAAACGTGTTAAAACTGGCAGTGGCTGTTAGTAGCTGTACATTTTGGGAGACACACAGGCAGACATACAAAGACAAGGACTGAAGTGTCCAGTTTCCCATCCGGAAAGGGACAAGAAAGGGGAGGCCTCCAGTAATACATAAATGCCTAGTTCTTAGACAATTTGTAATACTATTTGTGAAATATTTAGGTAACAATGATCTAAACTATGACAAAACATTTGTTTCTAGGAATGTGAAATGTCTATGGTTCATCAATGAATACAATTTTAAGGAATGTTAAATGCCACTCAATCTCTCATCATGAACTACTTAAACAAACAATATACCTTCTTGATGGTGTTGATGTGTCTGATTCAGTTACAGTTCTTGAAGTGTATCGGTATCCATCGCTCTCATCATCATAGTTACTCTGCAGTAACCTTCTATTCTCGCCACTGTCTCTATTCCTCTCTGACTCCAGAAAGTAGTCTGTGATTTCTCTCTCTGTCTCAGATCTGCTGAATGAGGTGCTGGAGTATTTTCCATAACTAGAAGCTGATGTCTTCTTATCTTCAAAATCATTATGCACAGACACTGGTGCCATCTGTCTTATTCTGGTAGTAGTTGAGCTAATGTACTTCCCATCCCTCAAAGAGGATTGTTCTGTTTCAGTGTCAGTGTTGACAATATGTCCCCTCTCAGCAGGTGAACCTGTTCGTATCCCACTATTTTCATCTGTAACTTTTTGTCGTCGGGACAGAAATGCTGTTGCTGAACTCACAAACTTCTCACCACCTTCTGTTGTTTTGTCTGCTGTCACCTTAGGCTGTCTACTGACATCATCATGTATGGCAGTGCTGCTGACCTCATCATATTTGCGTGTGTCATCAGATATCTTTGACCTTCTAAAACTGTTACTGCTGGTAACAGAAGAGGTCGTGATCCTGGATAATTTCACGTCATCATCTGGATATCCTCTTTCCGGTGATGGAGTCTTTCCAGCGGATGATCTCCTACTGGATGTGCTGGACTTCCTTGGAGTATCACTGTGGTCATTATCATAATGCACTGCTGAAGAAGTACTTTTATCAGGAGTCTTGTAGGTGTACTGCGTCCTTGTTATCCTTGTTACAGGCTCCTCACCTAACCTGGTTACAGTTTCACCTGTTGGCAAATGGAGAATGGATCCAATTAATTCAAATATTTTTTCTCAGTAACTCTTCACTTTGATGAAATATTAGTAAAAATGATATATATAAAGCAAGGAAATTGTTGTGCATACTTTTGCAGTATATGTTACTAATGTTTAACAATACGCAAGCCACATAAACCACAACCAAAGAACACCTACAGATTTAAGCAACCACATCCCTTTAATTTTGATAATGTAACAGGAAGCGAGTCGAAACAAATTCAATCCTTTCAGAAATGAAGTAATAGTAGTCTATGATCCAGACAACCAAATTAGAAAAGCACTGCTTGTCTAACTTGCAGGTTATTAGGAGATGAGAGGAAGCTAAGAGTAAACCATATCAGCAGCATATGTATTCCAGGGTAGCGGCTATCAACCACAGGCAGACAGGATTCTATAAGTCACAGTGAAGGAAGCCTATCTAATGGAGGGAACCCTGACTGACAAACCTGACCCTCAAGGCAGGGAATTGTGCCAAAGGCTGGTAATTCATCGGAGTAAAGTTTGTAAGCACTCATAACTCCAAAAGCATGATACTTGGACAGATAGGAAAATCAGCATTCTATGGACATATAATTTTATCATCAAGCAGTACCAGGTATGCGAAATGTATGAGGAAAAAATTACAAAGAAGATGAACTTGAGAAAGAGCTGAAATCACACAAAATGAACATCAACACTCTATCAGAGATAAGGAAAATTTTAAAGGAATTAAAGACCTGGACATTTACATAGATTATTTCTGGACTCAGCGTGACCTTTCTGCTATGTGTGAACACTGTATTGATTGCAGCCTTTCCTCCTCAGACCAGTGCAGTCATAGCGAATGTGCAGCAACTTTGTATAGTGAAATTCATACATCTATATCACAGGGGATGCCAAAAATTGTCGCCAACTGCTCAGATACATTTCCTACACTTGTAGAAGGGGTGGGCCTTCTTGGCCCTTGCACTGCGACCACAGTGATTTACTGTGCCTTTTCCTACACTTACTAAGAGGATTCTGGTTCACATATTGTAATTGTTCTCTTGATATATGAGACACTCAAAGCTGTTCTTCTTCCATGTGTGGATTGGTTTGACTGTCTTTTAAATGAGCACCAAAAAGAACTTGCAAAAAGTAATGTCAGAGGAATGGGGTGGCCATAGATACATGCGACAAATAATAAGTACTAGGGTACAGGAAATCCACATCTTACATCTGGAGTACCAGTATGTGGCATAAAAGTTGGTATCTGATGCACCCTGAGAGTGAGAAGGATTATGCGCCTTGTGTCTTGAACAGATACAGTTCATTTTGAGAGGTATATTACATGAGGACCAGTAACCTTTGCTTTATGATGTCATGGAGCCTCATATTGCAACAGCTGATCAAGCAGGCAGAAGCACATGCAGTGATGGCACATAGCAGAGCATGCTTGCTTAATATCCTCCCTGTATTATCAATTAAAGGTCTCCCATAATATTTAACGAGGACAACACAAAGTTCATATTCTGGCACAAGCAACAACAGACAACTGTGTAAAAATAAGTAACAATCCATTGAAGATAAGTTTGGGCATAATACAAGGGTGTCCCTTATTAACCACCCTTCCTACTATTTATACTGATAAAGACATCTGGAAATGGGAGAAAGAAATTATATTTTGTATAGGAAACATTTTAGTTAACACATCACTTTTTGTAGATGTCCAGGTGACACTACCTACATTTGAAGATTGCTTATAATCCATTCACAAATTTAGCACAGTTGCAACAAAATAAAATGTGGCAACACAAGATAAAAAAAAACTGGCATTTAAAGGCAATTAATGTATTTGACCAAAAACTGCCATAGATGATAGACCTACTGAAGAAGTAAACACTTTTTTTTTTAGGATTTTAGTTGAACTGGTCAAAAAGTTATAATGTGGAAATAAAATTACAGACATTCTTTTTTCTCTGTGGGACAACAAAAGGAACACTTCTGGGTAAAGCCCATAAAGAGGCCCAGAAGTCTTAGCAATACCTGCATTGTCATGTGGACTTATGCACAAAAAGGGCTTGAAGTTGCCAAAATGCACTTCCTCAGGGATGTGCAAGGACAGAGACTAGACAATAAAAAGTGTAATGGCACAACAGAACAAGAACTAAACATGCCTATGTTTAAAAAATACCAAACTGCGTACTAAAAAGAGTAGCAAGTGCAAACCCATGGCAGACACAAGAGAGAATTCCCATTACTTAAAAAATTGTATAATTGGACCTAGAACAAGGTGAACTGCCTAATTAGAGTTCTATGGTGATGGTGATGGTGACAACAATGAGCACCAAAGCTGGAACTCATTGCCACAAAACCTTTTTAATATACAAGAAAAATAAAGGAAAATAATAATGACGATGATGATAATCAACTTGACTTTTTTCATGTGTTTACTCATTAATTTAAAAAAAATTATATTCTAAATGCATTATACTAATGATCTGCCTTCAATCAATCAAAATTTTAACTCTTTCAAGAGGGACTTAAAATCCTTGCTGTTGAAACATTCCATTTATTCCGTTGATGAATTTATGTCCCTAAAATTCTGAAGCAAGTGTGTTATGGTTTTATGTTATGACAAATATCTTGTCCTCACTTAATCTATAAAAGAAAATGTTGGATGTTGGGTTTCTTTTGGTATTGAATTGTTGAAAGTGGGACAATGTATTGTATGATTGATTTGTATGAAATCTATAGGTAATTATAGTATTGCCGAGTCATGTATGATATGCATGTTATTTTAATATGTAGTAATTGACTTGTTCCATATCCAGAGGTTGTATCTCCAAATATGGATTCTCAGAACAAATAAACTGATTGACTGATTTCCTCCTAATGACACTCTGAAAATGGCAAATACATGTTGAAGAAACATACTAGATAAACACAATTTTAATTACACTGAAAATTTATGTAATCCTGCATTTTATTAGTTTAATACCTTGGTATATGATTAACACTAAAGCAGTGATGTCATCATATAGTAAAATATGATTTATATTTCAGTTCACAAAACCATAAGAAACCTCGTTATACCACCTTCAAATACTAAGATTTTTTTTTCTCAAGCACACTGGATTATTGCATTTCCTTACCTACATCTCCTTGTACTGCATGAGTATTATAGACCACTATAAGAGACCCAAGGAAAACCACAACCATCAGGAAAAGGCTGGGGAAAAATGTCCACAGCAGCACAATCACAAATACCACAACCACAAACAGCATGAAGGCCACAGAAGAGCCATTTGTGTCTGATGATGCAATTTCTTTCTCATTTTCTAGCTTCATTAACTTGTTACATGATAAAGCCATTATAAATATCTCAATTATGCTATTACTTTTAAAATCATTTACTGTATTTTCTCTTTTACCATTTCATGGCTATTCACTGTTCATGGTAATACTGCAACACAAGACTAGTTCTGACATTCTACACGTGCAAAGATCTCAATGCCAGATGTGCTGTATATAATGATACTATACTGTAACTGTAGCATTAGTATAAATTATATGCAACATTTTTGTTTTAACTGCTTCTTATCCTTATTGTGAATTCAAATTTTGGATGGTTCTTTTACATAGAACTAGAAACCTCCTTTTCTTGATAAAAGTTGCTTTAAATATTACATTCTGCTGTAATATTTTCTTCCATTTTCTTCTTGTAACTTTCAAATGAATTTCACATATAACTTTTTCCTAATTTTGTGCCGCTTTTTGTCGTTCCTCCAGATTTCCATGTGACTTCTATAAGATGTAAGAGCAGACTCTTCGCACTGGGGCCACCAACCGACTGGGTTTAATGTTTTGACTGTGGTACAGTGTGGAGGTAGCCAAAATGTGGTTCTTTAAATAAAGCAGGTCGCCAACTCTGTAACTGCTTGCTCAGTCGTGTTAGTTGTATGTGCAAAACCATGTGGGAGCTTCATAAAGCCATGCTACAAACATTTTAAAATGTGCAGTATAAGAACTTCAAAAGTCCAATGCCCCATGCCACAGCTCTCTCTTCTAATGCCAGATATTAGTGAGGCTATTTTCAAACCCCAAGTGGCTCTTGATCTAGGAGTGACACAAATCCAACCTACAACATTTTCAATGTACTCTTCTGACAATAAAGCTTCAGCATAAAACTGGGGAAAGATGGAACCATTTTATTTGGCACATACTATCAATATAATGCTACTTACTCTCACATGTGACCTACATAACCAACACGTTCAACTTATTGTAGTAAACTCGAGCTAGAACTCTTAAAAGGAGATAATCTTATATCTGTTTTTGAAAGATATTTTATAAAAAAAAAGCCAACTCATTTTATGTTTGCCAGATCCAACATTTTTACTACTATTTTTTAGAATCCCTAATTTATCAGTTAAAAAACAATATAATTTAATCACTATCACAGTCATATTTTATTTTAATGCAAATGAAATGCCAACTGACAGTAACAAGACAGATTTGATACAGAACAGTCCTATACAGTTAACATTGCTTGCTTCTGCATAATCTTACCTTCAAGGCTACTCACAATGTATTATCCACTCTCTAATACATTAGACAACTTTTATATTTTAAAATGGGTCCAGGAGTTAGAGGTTATATTACCCACTGTGAGTGTACAAAATAAGCAAGCAATGAGATTTACCCTAGGCAGAGGAAATGGATAGCAAATATACTAGTTTCATTTGTACCACTCTTGATTCAACATCATCCTCCCACTAGCTGCCCAGCAGTAGCCACATTCTGCACAGAGTTATTTGTAGAGTCAGTCCTTGGCAATGGGCCTGACCAATAGGATAAAACTAATGTTGATATAAACTCAGCACATATATCATTTACTACATGCAGAACTTCCACCCCAGCCTGCTGATGTTGCCTATACATAAATAAAAAAAAAACCTTACTGAGGTTCCATAAAATGGCTCAAAAAATTTCACAATAAAACACAAGGAAGAAAGCATAAATTCTTAAAATAGCAACTGCATAGCTTATATTCACCAAGAATAGCATAATTCATACAATTCAATACCAGACAAATAAAACCTATCTTAACCTTGTGCCAATGTTCTAAGAAATTCCCCAAGGTTTCTTTTTCTAAACCTTGAATAGCACAGCTTTCATCTCACTTGTCTCTCATCTAGAACTGACCCACTTGTATACAAAAAATGGGGGAATACTGAAGTGGTTGTTCACAAAAATAAAACCAATGTACTGCTTTTAATCTTTCCCAATTTTTAATTTCTTTTTCCCAAAAAAACGTGCACTCAAATCATGTTTTGTGCGTGGGGGGAGGGGGGTGAACATGCGTGCGCACACATGCACATGCAAGTAAGAGTGAATGAGAGGGAGAGGGAGATTGTATGCATGCTTGTGTCAGAGTAAATGTGCGAGAAAGAGTGGGTCAGTGAGGAACATGAGTGAGAGTGGGTAAATGAGTAAGTGTATTCAAATGCACCTCTGAGTTTGCTTGTTATATGTGTGACAAGGCCGCAATACAAACACAACTCAAAGTTTATTAGAAATCCCATTCTCATGACTAGGCTTACCTATTTTCATGCAGCCAAACTGGAACACTGCTTTAGGTCAACTTACTACACATACATGCATGCATGCACACACGCACGCACGCACACACACATACACACACACACATACACCATCAAATCAGCATGTTTTCTGCAGACTCAAGATATATATTAGTGTGTAGCAAACAACATATTCATGTAATTTTGTTGTAACATTTTTTTTAAACCATTCATACTTTTCAGTTGAAACTACTTTCTGTAGAAATATATGGTTATTTAATTTTTTCATAAAATTCACGACATGTTTGTTCAACATTAACTCTATAAAACAGCAACTCTTGAATGGTATGCCTACTCAAATCTAACAGACATAAAAAGATTACACATTAACCCCTTGAAATGTTAATTAATTTTAAGAGATATTTACAAAATCAATTCCTACTGCATAGATGAAATGAATCTAAATTAGAAAGATCAACCAATGAGTGCTGTCTAGGATAATAATTGATGTTTTGGATTGAGGTTCTTGAGGTGATGAGTATGATAAGAGCAGTCTACTGGGTTGTGACATCATGCAGTTTAGAAAACTTGATGTCTTCAGGAACAAATGGCCTCAGTCTTCAGGATCAAACAGCAAGCAAAGCAAGAAACAAGCAGAATGTGCAGTTATTATTGTCAAGGAAAATACTAAAATAGCAGAAAATAAAAATACTGTGTTAGTGCTATATGAAATAAATATTTGTGAAGAAGTTGAAGTGCCTAACAGAACTTTAGAATAATACTGAAGTGTTTCTGTATTTTTAATAATTATTTTACAATGCCACCAAATCAAATGCAATCTAACAAACCTACTAATGTATCTAACGCCTTAAGTTACCTTTTTGAGGTGTATAAACAACCGTTTCCAAACATAAATATGACCCCAGTAACTAAAAGAGAAATTAAAGATATAATCAAGTCATTAAAATGGAAGAATTCTAAGGGAGATGATGAGATTCCACAAAATATCCTAAAAATAAGTATGTCTTTTATTTTATCCCCATTAGCTTACATATGCAATAAATCACTGAGTTTAGGTATGTTTCCTACTCAATTACAATATTCACAGATAAGTCCTATTTATAAAAAGGGAGACAAGAAAGTTATGACCAATTATAAGCCAATATCTTTGCTGTCATCTTTTTCAAAAATGTTTGAAAAGGTCATTTACAATAGAGTTCAATATCATATAGATCAGCCCTGTCCAACGCAGCGCCTGTGGTATATTTTTCTCGTGCCCTCCATAACCACATATAATTGAGCCGATTTTTAATATTAATTCAAATTGTAAGACAAGAGACATTTTTGAACATCTGAGTACTGGTAAATATTTTTGAAAAATTTTATTATTATTATTTATTAGTAGTAGTGGAAGTAGTAGTAGTAGTAGTAGTAGTAGTAGTAGTAGTAGTAGTAGTATGTGGTGGCGCCCGCACCTCCATAGGCATCAGTGAATTGTGCCCGAGTACGTAAGAACGTTGGACAGCACTGATATAGATGCTAATAATATTCTTGCTCAAGAACAGTATGGTTTTAGAGCTAAATCATCCACTGATATGGGTACATATAATCTAATAAATAATATTTTATTGGCACTGAATAGTAAATTATCGGTCGGAGGCCTATTCTGTGATCTAACCAAGGCATTTGATTCTGTAAATGACAATGTATTATTATCCAAACTAGAGTTTTATGGTATTGTGACGCATTGCGTTATGTTTTATATTATGTTATTTTGACTTGTTCAAGTGATTGGTTGGAACATTTGTTTTGATTTTTGACGCATTCTATATCCAGTGGTGTGACAACTTGCTTCTCGCCCTGTAACTGGATCTACTTGAATATAAGAATAAATTATTAATTATTATTATTGAAGGAAAGTTAATTGTAAATGATCTGGAAGCAAGTGGTTGAGGCCTAATTGAGGTATTATTCCAGCATTTGACTGGAAGACCTGAGGAAAACCATGAAAAACCTCAGTCAAAGTAAACAGTGTCCCATCTGAAATTCAAACCCATCACTTATTAATTAAAACTCTAAAGCTTTACCTCTGGTCAAACCTGTTCAGTGTCATGCATATCACTTGGGTACTTGCACAAACATTTCGGGTGGCAAGTTCTGTCTCCTGGGATATAATGCTGTGTGGTCCACTGAAAGTCAACAGGCGTTTTGAAGGAACAAGTCGCCTCCATTTTCAGGGTTGAATAATAATCCAAGCAAGAAACTATGTGAGCTGCTGGCTCTTCTTTCCACCTGCTTTCACGTTGATTTCTTGCTTGGCTTAATCTTTGACCCTAAAGATGGAGGAGACATGTTCCTCTGAAAAGTCAGTTGACTTTCAACAGACTACACAGCATTATATCCCAGTACATAGAACTCTTCATAACCACCGCTGTGAGAACCTCAGGTCCTACATAGTGCTACATGCCAGAAGACAGAGCTCTCCATAACGTATCTGCGCTATGCAGCAGACTCCCCCCCCCCAACACCAACAGTGACATAACAGCATCGGAGCCACTGCCGCTGCTACAGTAAGAGGCCAGTAAACACTCCGCCCCCCCTCCCCCCCGCAGTGACGTAACAGGGGACACCACTGTNGAGGCAACAGGGAATGGTATAAAAGGCCGCCTAAGCAGTGTGTGAGCCAGAGTGTGGATCATGAAGTCGCTGAGTGCAGCAGAAGTCCAGCAGCTACGAGTTGAGTTGTATCGAGTGCATGGCAGGGACTCCAGCAGGAGAAGTAACTGTGATACTGCTGATGGCAGTAGTTGTGAGATTGTAAACTGTGTAACTTTAAGAGCAAATGTGGAATAAATTTGCTAGATCCAAGATGGCGTGAAGTTATTTGTCGTGCTACAATATGTTACAGCATTCAGAAAAATGTTTACTTCTGTTCCACAGAATAGAGTAATCAAGAACCATTTGCTTATTTTTTTGAGGTAAAGAAATGATTTTCAACTTAATACGTTTAGCCTTCTTATTCCCAACACCATTCAGCATACTTCTGAAGCTATGCAGCTTAATTTAAAAAAATGACAAAAACCTATCTTAAACCTAAATAAAAGTAATAAAAAAATCAGAGCCATCTGATAATGATATTACAAACTATGATTTCAGGCAACAAAGTGTTCTTTTGTGTTTGTTGGAATATGACTTATTTTTCAAACCAATAATTCAGCAAATTGGTGGCTTTGTTAAAGTCATGACTATATGCAAACATAAAGAGTTAAACACATGCAACCATAGTTTTGTCTTATACTCACCCTGGATGATGTCCCTTTTGAGTGAGACTGTGCCATCTGCTTTCAGAGTCCCCCTAGAGCTGATCACAGTTGCACTACTGGTACTGGTACTGGTACTTTCTGTCACCACCTTTACACCTCCATGTAACTTCTTCAATATTCCTGGCCGGCATGACTCCTCTGTATCTCCTAGTAAGATAAATACCAATATATACAAGAAATTGTCCAATTTCACAGACAACTGTTGCACAACAAAATTCAATGAATAGGATTTAATACTTCCCGAGCTCAGGCTATTCATCAGGTCACCTAAATGTACAATAACTCAGATAGAGCTAAGTTACATTTTCTCAAAAATAATTACTCCTTTCACATCCACATTTTTCAAGCAATCACATGCCTTGAAATCAGCTTCTCTTGCACACAAATATTTCAAGTTTTATTATTCTTGTTATTCTCTAAATTCTATACTACCTTTACCACTTACATTGAACACGTGCAATTCAGATATTCAAACAACATATAACACGAATGTATTCAACACTTGAGTGATGATAAATGTGACTTCAGAATTGACCTGACAGATGCATTAGACATATCCAAGAATATTCAGACTAGATACTTAAAGGGATAATGAAAGTGGTGGCAACCATGCTGGAAATCACAAAACATTACAGTTATTATGTCCTGGGATATAACACCGTTCTGCTGAATGTCAGCCATTGACTATCAACAGACTACAGGGTGTTATATCCCAGAAGACAGTTCTCTTCATAACCACTTCTGTGTGAAGCTCAAATCCTACATTACAGTCATGTGTGAGACATGTTTAATTAAAAGAAATTCTGCAGCTTTCAAGAGACACCAAAATGAACTTTACATATGCAACAGCTTCTAAGCCACTTATAATGGTAACAACACTATCTATAGCTTTGGGAATCAAAAAGTTGGTAAAATTAACCTCATTTGTTCATTAATCAGCTTACATTAATTTTCAACAGGATTTCTTAATACTGTGTGAAAGTTGAGCCTTCACTTTGGAAAATCTCCATGTCCTACAGAAGAAAACCAGAGGTATAGAAAAAGAATAAGAACTGTTCTAGGCCCTATCCAAATTGGTTTTCCATTGACATTTTCAACCTCATCTTGACTGGTTTTGACAGCACAGATTCAAATCTTACTTATGAATGTACCTGTGTCAGGAGTATCTTCATCAGAATGAGGCAGTCTGTCACTTCCACTGTCATCTGCAACAGAATTGTTGAATGATATTCATTACATCATACAAAAGAAATTTAATGAAAACAAATATTTAAAAAAAAAATTAAAGAATTAGAACTGTGTAAGATTTGAGGTTTTCACGGCAGTGACTACGAAGAAAGCAGTCTTCTGGGATGTGGTACCATGTAGAAATTGTGTTAACCGATGTTTCGGAGGAATGTCGGTTAACACAATTTCTACACGGCGCCACATCCCAAAAGAAGGCTTTCATCAATTAGAACAGTGTTTTCCAGATATTCAGAAGTTGCTACTTCTGTCTATGCTTTTTAATTATTACAAAAAATAACATCACTTTTTTCACATAATCGCAACAGCGATCTGAAAAAGAACAAATCTGGCAGAATCCCATGAGGCCATAACAGCTTGCTTTTATCCTGAAGGACTCTGTTCAGGGGGAGACCTGATGTCAAAGTATATTTTGTTTGCTCTCAAATGGCGCCAAGATAATCACATGCCACTTGGTAACACTATATAGAAACACTTTTAATTTCTTTTGGCTCAGAAGAAATTAATATTATTAAAATATGTTCGTAAACAAGCAACTGATTAAAAATAACAGACAATAGAAGAACTATGGAATAAACACAGATTGTATCTTTCTTACCATGGGCAATTTTTTCATGCTTTTGGATAATAGCTCTAAGAGAACTTGCTCTTTGTGACATGACACGTGCATCTGTCAGAGCATCTGCCAAACGTTTGTCTGGTTCATTGTCCCGAGACTGATGGATGAAGCTGTCACGCAGCTTAGCACGCGGTTTCTGGCGAGGTGCAGCTGGCTGAGATACTGCATTGCCACCTATAAGGAGCAATAATTAAGTGCTGTCTAGTAGTACTGTTAACTTGTACTTATTACTGTCTTAATTGCTCTAACATCAATGAGTTCCTAGTACTTGGAAGTGGCCAAGCATATGAAGGCAGCTGACTGGTCAGGCAGGGCTTGCATACCAAACAACTCTCACATTGTATCACATTTACCAACTAGAGAATACTGAAAGTCAAAAAGTTTCATCAATTTAAGTCTTCTACATAACTGAAATTTTGAGAAGGCAGGAGATTTAAATTAATCTACTTTCAAAATCTAATCAGTCCAGGTAATTTGGTACATTAGTAATGGACACAGTCTAATTACAGAAAGTTAAAGAAGTGAATAAGAAAAAACCCTGCAGTAAACAGCAGTATTAGCAACTATATAAGGCCGCAACACAGCTCAAGCGGTTAGTCGCTGGCTTCCCACATGGGCGGCCCGGGTTCGATCCCGGGTCTGATCAGGTGGGATTTGTGGTGGACAAAGTGGCGCTGGGGCAGGTTTTCTTCGAGTACTTCGGTTTCCCCTGCCTATCTTCATTCCACCAATTGCTCCACAGTCACCCTCACCTATCATCTAGGACTGGTACAATAGGCCAGAAGTGGCCACAGTACAAGGGACTTAGTCCCACCCCAATAGCATTAAAAAACTATATAAGAAACCACATTTCATCATTCACACTGGTACAGATATTCTCCTAATACTAACGTGAGTTCTGCTCATGTTTGGTGACAAGTTCACGGAGATGTGAGGAGACAGGCTGTTCTGGCATATTTTCGCTGTCAGTACTGGGAACCTTCTGTTTATCTTGAGGACTGCTCCAACTGCTACTAGTAGTTGTGGTGGTTACTTTCAGTGCCCGCAATCCTCCAAAGAGCAGTCGTCCACTGGAATCACAAATTTCTGATGGTTTGCTCTCTACTTCTTGTCGCTTATCCTCTGGCTCCAGATCACTTGCAGGCATACTTTCAACAGCATCTGTAAACATGCAGGAGTCGTGAATAGTCTACAGAACTGCTTCACAATAGCAAATGATGATTTTTTTTTTCTAACTTTAGATGGCTCAGCATGTAACTTCCACATGTTATATCTAGGGGGTCTGTGAAATTTATACTGCATGAGGTCAATTCCTACATGTAGTACTTCTTTATACAAATGGGAAAAGCAGCTATTCTGTGGCCATAAATGATTTCCATTCATCACTTCTGATGGCCTTCATTATCCACATAACAGATTTTAAGAGAGAAAAATGTGACTGCATAACTCAGTCAATGAAATGAAGTTTTTCCAGGTCACATATACTGCCAATTCAGGAAGTGGAATTCTGAATGAAACATAGGAAATATGAAAGTATTCAACCTTGTTACCAATATTTCATTTAAGTTGTTAAGATGATGAACTTGCAGCTACTTCTTAACTCAGTGGCTCAGTGCATGCAATATTTCTCTAGTAAAAATAGCATACACAGGCCTCTAACCACTTCCTTGCACCAATCCATTGAAAGACTTCAAAGACTAAATTTCTTATATATAATAAAAGGAATTCACTTTATACCTCACAGGATGTACTTGTCTCCACTAGGAAGCTCAACCAAATAATGCTACTTAAGGAAAAAATCACTGTCTATTGTGAGAACCACATGATATGCATACATACATATTCTGTAAACAGAATAAAGATGTTTATTTAGTAAAGCATGCAGTACAGATAGGAACAACTGGGTTTTAAGTATTTAAAGAAAGCTACCTCTTGTCTGTTATGATTCAACATTAACTAGAAACAATCTTTTGGACATTTTGCATGAATCTTTGAATAGGAGATTTCCCTATCATAAAGGTTCTACCTACAAAGGATGAGAAAAGAGAAAAAGCAGACATTCATCCACGAACAAGTTGGATTCAAATCCATAAAAATGAGTGTTGTAAAATTTCTCTCAAATGAAGGCAATTGCAAAATTTGCTTACATTTACATTTTTAGCCATTTAAAAATAGTTTGTGGGATATTCCTTTGTATACAACATAAAAGAATACTGTTTTTAAAATATACTAAGTTCTGAAATATTTTCTCATTTTTTAAATGGTGATTCTTTTTTCAAAATTCCAGGGTGGGAGCCATATGTAGAAACATGGTGATGTAATTTCACACACTCTTAGATGTTCACATTAGTAGGGGGTGTGATCAGCTTCGTAACCCGGCAACTTCTCATAGGCTACCACTTAAAAATGGGTTAGTAAAAACATTATAGACACACTACCATCTCATTGTGATATGGTTTGATATGAACAGAGGTGTAGAGATAATTTATTACAGATGAAAGTTTTGTTGACAAAAACGTATTTGAGTTGTCTTTATTTATACGGCTTTATGATGAAAATGATTGCTATAAATCTTGTTATGGCATTGTGGTTAGGTGTATGTAGCCTAATTTTCAGGTACTGTTTTGCCATTCATCAGGAGACAGAGAAATCCACAACATTGGCTTTGTAATACAGTGCCTACCTTTCGGTATTTGAATGTTGTTGTTGCTACTTTGTCGCCGGCGAAGGGCACTCAGGCCAAACAGTGGACGCCCATTTTCATCTGTGGGGCCAACACCATAGCTGGATGTGACAGAGTCTGTGGGAAATGCTTCCCTTGGTGGCTCTCCCAGCGAAGACTTCTTAACTGGTGACTTCACTGAAAAATAACAAAATTAAATTATTACTGTTATCTATAATTTATGCAAAGAAATAATATGGTAACAATGTAGTATGAATAGCACCAATACTACAAAATTAAAATCCTGTACACATTTGGCTCATGTATCTAGGGAAGTCAAAATGCTGAAATATTTACCATTTTTCAACTTCCCTTCCTATTACAATTTAACTCATGTTGGTAATCTTGTGCAAAATTAATTATCTCAAGTAAATTTGGGAGATATGTTCTATTGTTATTAAGTCACATGTATAGGCCGCGCCATAGCTCAAGCAGTTAGTTGCTTGTTTCCCACCGTGGTAGCCCGGGTTCGATCCCGGGTCTGGTCAAGTGAGATTTGTGGTGGACAAAGTGGCACTGGGGCAGGATTTCTCAGAGTACTTCGGTTTCCCCTGCCAATCTTCATTCCACCAATTGCTCCACAATCACCCTCGCCTATCATCTGGGGATGGTACAATAGGCCAGAAGTGGCCACAGTACAAGGAACTTAGTCCCACCCCACTAGCAATAAAAAAAAAGTCAATCCCACCCCACTAGCAATAATGGAAAAATCAAATGTATTCAATCCATTCATGGGAACTACTCTACTTCCATAATTCACAACTTTAAATAAGGACCATGATTCATTAGCATTACTAATGACCTACGCCTGAGAGAAAATTAAATGCAATATACTTGTACTCCTTATCCAAGTATCAACACTGATTGTAACCATGGCTACAAATTTTCCTTGAAAGTTATCATTAAAATTTGAGACTCTAGTTATATTAATTCTCCAAAACTGAAACGTTTCCCCATCATACAAAGAAAAATCACGTTAAAATAGAATAACAGAATATAATTACTGTAGATAACATGAATAATAAATATTTTTATTTCATTTTCTCATTCTCTTTGTTGTTACTAGGCGTTTTTTACAAAGCAAACAGGTATGCCTTACATGGAGATTTCCCCATTTGTCTGTGACCTAATATCAGGACCTAAATCATTGGACAGATCTTCTTAAAATGCAATATTAGGCACTTTAAAAAGTTGCTGGGCGACTGATTTACAGCCATACAAATCCATAATATGGCCTAGTCTTCAAAAAAACCATAAACGGACTTTTCTAACAATTAGGATGTAGCAGTAAATATAGATAATTAATCAGTTTTGTTGCATGGTCTGATTAGTTGACAGTTAACTCTCACTCATGCTCTGTTTGGCTTCACCACAGTCAGCAGAAACGACCTCATTAGAGAAGATGTCGCACAAAACAGAAATATATGAACTGCCGATGCGGTCAGCTGGCTCTTTGCCATGTCCGCCTTTTCAATGTCGCTTCTACAGCTGGCAGTAAAAAGAAGAAAAGAGATAATTTCTTATATCTACTTGCTTGGTGAATTCAAGTACACATTACAGCACGGATCTCGGTAAGTGTGCCACAGCAGCATTATTTCAGGAGATGGACAAAGTATTGAGGACGGTGGAGAATGGTTCCTGGGAGGAATGGGAACGCTGATACGCCGGACTAAACCAAACAGCAACGAGAATTACATATGTTGCACCAATCACGCGGTGCGAACAGTTGGCACCGACTGAGATAGTAGTCAGCTGAGCTGATTACAGGTTTTGCCTGTATTAACATCTGGAGGCAGGCCGTGCCATAGCTCTTCCGGTTAGTCGCCGGCTTTCCACCACCGCGGCCCGGGTTCGATATCACGTCAGGCCATGTTGGATTTATAGCAGACAAAGTGGCACTGGAGGCCGGTTTTCTCCGTGTACGACGACTTCGGTTGCCCTTATCAATTCTCATTCCACCGACAACTCCACACTCGATCTAACATCCGGGACCGGTACAACAGACCGAATAGTGGCCAACGTGCCAAGTGGACTCCGCCTCACCTCAACCCACCCCATGAAATTAAATGAAATTTAATTAACATTTGGAACCACTTGATAATCCAATAGTACACCAAGCCATAATTCTTTCGTAAGGTATATTTATGCTGGTATTTTACGTATGCTCCCCGAATTACGAGAAGTATGTTTACCCAGATAAAGATGGTAACAGGAAGTCACCGCGTTGTAATTATCTTGTCCATTATTTCGATCCGTGAAATACAGAAAGTCGGACTTAAGAAGGCGTCCCTCGAACGGAGTGCCGGCTATGATGCTTTCAAAACCAAGCTAGAAAGTGAAAAACTTTCTTAACAAATGAGCGGAAGTAGACAGAACTTAAATTTAAGCTCGCCAAGTGGTACTGCAGCAATGAGGACTGTTTACACTATTTATCACTGGTAAATAACTTCCGATATAAATATGGCACCAGTCAGCAAATAGGTTCGCTACTCCTGGATATACCTACTCCCGCCCACAACAAACAAGTGTCCGTAACATCGTTTTAGGTACTGGAGTAATGAGGGCTCTTGGCACCATTCATTATCGGTAACTTCCTATGCAAATCTGGCACCAGACAGCACAAGGTTCGCCGTCCCTAAAAACCTACTTTCGGCCACAACATACACATTTCCGTAACATAGTTTTAAACGAAGTGCCAAGACCTGCTAATCCTGCGTTGTTTTCTGGTAGTAACACCGATGTCTCGACTGTTGACCCTTCGTTGGAAGAATATTGTCAGGTGTATAAATGTGATTGGTAATCGGATTTACTGAACGCTTACAGAAGGTAAAACATGTAACTATAGTGCTATAGCTAACTCGCACACTCCGCAGTTCACTACAGCAGGCCCCAAGTCTTCTCTGTCTGCTGTATCTTCACCGGTTGTCGCCTGGCAACGGCCTCCAACGCCGTAGCTTCCTCAGCTTCCGTGTTCACGTCCTTACTGGACACAGACTGTCTCACAACTCACTGAATTCCAGACTTGTCCTGCTTAGAACACCTCGGTACGGGTCGCAAAATAAAACCTCTCTCAAGAGTTATATTGTTGCATCATCTAGCTGTTGAACGGACCGCTTAGAGAACACCGCTTCCCAGTTACTTAATCGTTGCGCATTATGAATCTGTTGCGGCCATTACCCAACGGCTGTTGTATAACTACTTATTTCGCGGTCGTTGCCTAGCAACGGGTCTACATGCCACAATATTAATGGTGAATCCGTAGGGTTATAAAAGGAAACGGATAGGGATCTGTTGCATTACTTTCCATTTTATATAAATAATGAGAACTATTACCTTAGATCTGACAAGAAATTATGCTTAAAGGAAAACTCTGTCTTCGAAATTATATTTTCATCCTATTGATATACCTAAAATTCCCACGGGTTCGATAAAATATCCGTTGATTCACTGCCGTGCTCACAAGAGCCCACAACGGGATCCTATCCTGAACCAGGCAAATTCAGTCAACATTCTCAGTCCCTTGTCCTTCAAAGATCCGTTTAAATAGTACTCTCTTGTCTACGTATAGGTTTTCCAGGTTCCCTATAGGATTTCAAAAGCCGGAAAAGCGTAGTCGGTATAGCGACTGGCTACGGGCTGGACGACCGAGAGGTCGGAGTTCGAATCCCGGTAGGGTCAAGGATTTTCTCTTCTCCACGTCGTTCAGACCGGCTTTAGGGTCCGCCCAGCCTCCTATCCAGTGGGTACCTGGGGCTCTATCCCCCTGGGTAAAGAGGCAGCGGCGTAAAGCTGACCACTCACCTCCAACTAGTGTCGAGGTAAAGAAAATGTGGATCTATACAGCCACTCCCCCATACGCCTTCATGGGGTAGTGCTTAATTAGTTAAGCATAGGGACATTACCTTTTTACCTACAAGATATCTTGCTTAACTCCTGTACGCATTTTTCACAGCCTCGCTAGCGCCATATGTTCCATTTCTTCCTGCATGATCTGTTCACCGTAACAACACTGGGTAAAGAGCAAACATGGGAGCCGGAAGGGTGGGACAAACCAGGCACCTGCCGGCGGATTTGGGGGGGAATACTATAAATTTAACAGAAATAAAAAATATTTTAAACTCTATCTTCTATCCGGAATACAATAGCGCGGTCAGTAAAAATAGTCTTAAACGGTTTACACGTAAGTGTGTAGGCAAGGTTTCTGCCGCCTTGATCTTCACGGATGAATGGAAGGTCATGCACGTAACCCTCGGTCCTCTGCCCCGTAGCCAGTCGCCATACCGACTGCGCTATCCCGGCTCCCACTAAGCAGATAACGCAGCAAAATGAGAAACCATTTTTCTTCATATTTTGATAAATATTTACCACACCGAAAGATGTTTCAAGTAAAAGTTGTAAACACTTGGTGACTGTTTTCAGTCTTTGCAAAGCCCTGAACTGACAGGAACGTAGCGTAAATTTACATAGCAACAACTCTAGGTAGGAGGACTGTTACATTCAGTGAACAGAACTCTTTTAATGTGCAAAAGGGATTCGTTATTCATCAAATGAGTAAACTATGAATTACTCTGACTTCTTGTAAAAGAAACGAGACTGCATCACAGCCTGAAGCGTTGAATGGTAATCATCGTTAACATGCCAGTCTATGTCGCGGCGTTCGAGACTCCCAACTGTGCTCAATGCCCACGTACGTCTGAAGGACGAATTAATTTGGGAACTCTTAAATTTAATGATTAACTGGCTGTCTTAAAAGACGCGCACCCACGTCCTCCACACAGCAGTCTAACCCATCTGGCAGGGGCGGTAACTCGTAGGCCTACCGCAAATGTCTAGGGCTTTCTGATTTTGTTTCGATGGTGGAGGGGTTTCCTCTCTTCGATATGTCACTTAAAACTATGTAGTTCCATACAGATTTAAACAAATAGGCCTAAACAGCTTATAATCCGAAGATTTCTATCATCTGGGATATAACGTCGTGTTCCTCCGAAACGTCGGCTGACATTCAACGGACTACACGGCGTTACATCCCAGAAAAAAAAACTCTTCATAATCACCGCTGTGGAAACCTCAAATTCAGAACGTGCAGACGAGCTGTATTAAAACTCACCCATATCAAATGTCATTAAAATCCGTGTTCG